CCTGTGCCGCTCCGCCGGTTATACGTCTCTTTCTCTGACCTTGTGTTGTGTCGTGCAAAAGCCAACGGTCTCTGAGGTAGTCCCGGATCATATCTAGCAAGTATGCTGGAACCTTGAATGACCGTTCCAAGGCCTCCAGCATGTCGTCCCATCTTGCCGAGTTGAAAGCGTTCTTGACGTCCAGTGTGACTAGCAGCACTATTGGCCGCGCCTGGTGGCAGGCTTCTTCGGCCTTATGTACCGCCTCGACTACTTCGCCAGTTGCTCCTATAGTTGAGTGTCCCTTCCTGAAGCCATGTTGTCGGGGTGAAAGACCTCCCTCGCTTTCTATGGCTGACATCAAGCGTATTTTGAGCAGGCTCTCCATCATTTTGCCTGCTGTGTCTAGCATGCAGAGTGGCCGAAAGGATGAAGGAGAATTTGGGTCCGCTTTGCCCTTGGGTATAAGCACCAGTCTCGCTTTCTTCCATTGGCTTGGGAAGACCAGGGCCCTAAGGCAGTTGTTGTACATGTTAAGCAGGAGATCAGGGCTCGTTTTCGCTGCTAACCTGATTGCCTCCGCTGGTATGCCATCTGGGCCTGGAGCCTTGCCGGCTTTCATGCTTCGCAGGGCTACCTTCAGCTCGTCTGTCGAAAACAGTGGTGCCTCGGCTTGCTCCTCGACGAACACTGTATCTGCTCTTAGTGGGTGAGTGGGAGATAGCGCATCCACTGTATTCTTAACTCGGGCCTCATCCATCGCTTGCGATGATGTGTGGAACTTTTTCATCACTATTTTGTATCCCTGGCCCATGGTAGGGGCAGGGGGGGGGGGGGGGGGGCCGGGCCCCCCTAACTTCAAAATTTTTGCCTAGATATTCAAAAATAGTACCACTAAATGCTTGCTTGATAATTTCGGCCCCCCTAACTTTTAAGGTTTTTCCTATATATATACTGTATAACAAATTATAATCCCAACGCTAACAAAATAATTAGTAAATTGATTTAAAAAGTGGATATGTGGATCATCTGGTTCTGTATCAAGTTATTCTCTCTAACTTCAAAGCACTCATACCATTTAAAAAGGGTAAAAATCTGGCTGCAGTCGACAATGAGCCAAAATAGTTCAATTGTTTATTACTTTGTCTTTAGGTGTGTGTCTTTTCTAAGTGTACAACGAAAGTTTTGTATCACAGAACCAATCTGAGATTATTGATAAAACTATAGACCGGTTGGGTGAACAGCCAAGACGTTTACTTCTTAAGTGTGACAAAACAAAGTCAAGTAATATATTTAGCATAAATGAATATACCAGCATAAAAAATCTGCATACTCAAAATGTTCAATACGTCCTCATATTTATACATACCTATGTATATAATTTAAGAGAAGATATTTCGCTGCAAAGCAATGATTATAAATTATTAGTTTACCTTACAAAATTGCGGAGGAATATTAAAGAGTATACGGAAAAAAGTTAGTTTTTTTACATTTTTTATTTTGAATAACGCATGGTCCGGCTATTTGGTTTACTATACAGGTATGTAGAGCTATGAATTTAAAAAATACATCAGGGTTTAGTTGAGATATTCGCTTTTGACCACTATGTTTTGTACATTTCCCAGTACTGCAAAGCTTTTGACTGCCATTCAACTGGGAGTGGCCCGCGTGGGCTGGGTTTGGGTCCCGCCACGTTAAAACCCTGCCCAATCAAAAAAAAACACATGCCTCGGATGATACCCCCTTCTTTTGATGACGATCACGGCAAACATAGGAAGGACTATGATTTTAGGGTATGCACTTGAAATATCCGAACCCTTAATCGGGATGGTGCCTCTGCCCGGCTGGTTGATGTCCTAGGGAAAATAAAGGCTGACATCACCGCCATCCACGAAATGCGATGGACGGGGCGAGGAAGGTAAGCGTGGAGCCTTGCGACGTCTACTACAGTTGCCACGTAAAGGAGTGCAATTCGGTGTTGGATTTGTGGTGGGAGAGAGACCGGCGTTCACTCTAGTGGACGAAAGTCTAGCCACAATCCGCATCAAAGCGAGATTCTTCAACATCACATTCATATGTGCCAATGCCCCGATGAAAGACAGGGACGAGGCATCCAAGGCTCTCTTAGCTTAGAGCGTACATATTAGCTGAGGGTGATCGACTTCGCCGGGGACCGAAACTTGGCAGTATGTATTACTGGGTTCTAGCATAGAGAGGTCCATCAAGCTACATGTATGTCTCCCCATCGAAAAACGGGAAACCAAATCGAGGATGCTGTGATAGACGGAAGGCATGCTTCCATGTTTTAGATGTACATACGTACACTCCGAAGGCTAAACATCGACTCGCACTACTATATTGATGCATCCAATATACGACCCAACCCCGGAGCAGCAAAAAAAGGGCATCCAACAATCCAAAGAAAGTTCAACGTCGAAAAGCTGCAATCAAAACAGACGGCCTATGGATTCGGCGCTCGACCCTCACACCTGCTATGAGAGAGCACTCCTCAACAAACCGACTTGCGCGATCAGTGGAACCACATTTTCCACTCATTACTGGTACGATGAGGAGTGTGAGAAAATGCTTGAAATGCTGGCCGACAGAAAAAACACCCGAAATTTTTAGCAGCGAGTTGAGCGACTTACGGAAGGTTTCAAGACTCTTGTAGGAACAACCATGGCGACCTAGTGACCGATGTCCAGAAAGTACTCAGATTATGGAGGGAACTCTTTTCGACCCTTGTGAATGGCAGAAGCACTGAAAGAAGTGGAGAAGACGAACCCGAGGTCCCAGTCGATGCCGATGGAGTCGATATCCCAGCGCCTGACTATGACGAAAAGTACCAAAGCTGCTTGAGCTGACGGCCTGTCAGCTGAGCTATTTAATTATGATGGCAAGGACGTAATAAGGTGCATGCCCGACCACTGGAATTCAAGTGCGCTCTGCCCAATCCACAAGAAAGGCGACCCCGCCATGCGTGCCAACTACTGCGGGATCAGCCTTCTAAGCATAGGTTGCAATGTCTTATCGAATGTATTGTCTACCATAGACCAGGTATTCACAATACGCCAAATCCTGGAAAAGACCCGCGAGAAAAGTATCGGCACTCACTAGCTATTTGTCGACTTTAAAGCCGCTTTCGACAGCACTAAAAGGAGTTTCCTATATGCCGCTATGTCTGAATTTGGCATCCCCTCAAAACTGGCTGTGAAAAATTACGTTGAGCAATACCACCAGCTCTGCTCTGTTGCCGTTCGCCACCAGACGGGGTTTCAGACAGGACGACTCTCTTTCATGTGACTTCTTTAATCTGATGTTGGAGAAGATAATAAGATCTGCAGAACTGAACCACTCAGGAACAATTTACTACAAGAGCGTACCATTGCTGGCTTATGCCGATGACACTGACATTATCGGTAAGAAAAACCGCGAAGTCTGTCCTGGCTTTTCCAAGTTGGACAAGGAAGCAAAGCGAATGGGTCTGGTGGTAAACGAGGACAAGACGAAGTATCTCCTGTCATCAAACAAACAGTCAGCACACTCGCGCCTTGGCGTGGGTGCCAAGGTTGCCACTGTTGACGGTTACAATTTCGAGAAAGTACAGCATTTCGTTCACTTGGGAACCAGCATTAACACAGATAATAATGTCAGCATGGAAATCCAACGCAGAATCGCTCTTGCCAACAAGTACTGGCTTTGGACTGAGTAGGCAATTCAGGAGTAAAGTCCTCTCTCGACGTACGAAAACCACACTATAAGTCACTCATCATGCCCGTGCTGGTATATGGCGAATTAAAATACAGCGGCTCAACTGGCTTGATCATGTCGTTCGTATGGACACCGACGCCCCACCTCTGAAAGTATTCTGGCTTCACTTGGCATTTCCAGTTGGCGTCAGTTGGCCAAAATCGCTTTGGCGGTTACAGCGCCAAATAAGAAGAAGAAAATCTATAACCTTATCAGTCACACAGTGTTATAATCCCGACGAAATCCTTGACGGTGGTACCGGGAGGGGAACGGTACATGACGGTAGGAAGTTTAGTTTGGGTTAAAGTCTCACACTGACGGGGTTAGGCTTTCGATGCTTCCTCCTCGTAAAATAAACATGCTCAGTAAATAGTTAACAATTTAAATCGACGAATAGTTTTATATCAACTTTTATTTGTTTTTTTGTACAACAAATGGTTACAATAATTTTAAGCTATAATAAACAATTTTTTAGTAAGTAATTATTGGTATTGATTTTTTTTGTATGGGCTCCCCCCCTAAATTTCGTTCTGGCTATGCCCATGCCCTGGCCGTAGGGATCGCGATCCCCTTCGTCACATAGCGCTTTCCAGGAGTTCCGTTTACTCTTCTGTATCTCGGCCCCAAGTGCTTTCTTGGCGCTTTTGTAGGCTGCTGCTCTGGTCAGCGCCTCAGGTCTACCACGAGCGCGCGTTGCGAGTCTCCGCATTCTATGGCAGGCCCTTCGCAGCTCTGCAATTCGGTTATTCCACCAGTATACCTGCTTTTTACCTGACCATGCTCTCCTCTGTGGCATTGAGGCTGTGCATGCCCGGTGAATGCAGCGCATGGTTTCTTCGCCCTGCTTAGTACAAGACTGCCTGTTGTGGATCTCTCCCGTTGTGGGTGAAATACCTTGGGAATCTGTTAGTAGTGATATATCGAACTTGCGAACATCGACCCTAGACGGGTTCCATCCTGATTTCCTGCGAGGGATACTACGTGTTTGCCCTCGCGTTGTGTCAGTGACTTGGAAGGTGATGTAGTTATGGTCGCTACCACTCAGGTCTTCCATCACTCTCCATCCGTCAGCCCTTCGAAGAAGGCTTTCTGAGACCAGGGTTATGTCAGGGATAGAGTATCCAAAACCCGGCCTTCGATATGTAGGGGTCGTTCCGGTGTTGAG